AATACTTTAGAAGAAACCCTGTAAACAAACTAAATGAAATTTGCTGCTTACATCACTAATTAGCGTAACCAAGTGACCGAGCAGATCCATATGTTTCAGAGTTTACCTAGCACAACAGGCTTTTCTGTATGCTTGACTTACTCCTGATTTTCTTGGCAGGTGATCCACAAGCACTGGAATTGGTTTGAGCACAGTTCTTCCTCACATCTGCCCTCCCTGTGCATTTGCACATTTGTGGAGTCAGTTTATTTTCTTCCACATGTGCCTTCAGCAATGAGGATTTTCAAAGGAGGGAGCGGTCATCATTGGTGGTGTCACAGCAAACCCCCCCTTATTTTATTTTATTTTGTTCATCCTTATTTTGATATATTGCTATCATGGCTGCATTTTTAAGGTAGCATTTCAATGTAGTATTTAAGCAGGTTCTATGAAAGATTGAAGGTCAAAGAAGACGTGGATGGCAAAGGATGAGATAGTTAGGCAGTGTCATAGATGCAACGAACATGAAGTTGAGCCAACTTCAGAGGATGGCGGAAGACAGGAAGGCCTGGTGTGATCTGGTCCATAGGGTCGCGAAGAGTCGGACTCGACTGTGCGACTGAACAACAATAACAACAACAATGAATTCCCAGCTTTTTTTTTAAGTTAGTCACTAGCTGCTTCCCTTGTGGAAATACAAGAAAAAAGGCAAGAGAAGGCAATAGAGACTGACTTTTTCAAAAAATTAAAGCTGGGAATTCAGAAAACCTGCTTAAACAATCGTCACAGCACTGTATCGATATGTCAATGCGGTAGGGCTGTTTTTTTAAAAAAACAAAAACTAGTTGTCTTCAGGGCAGGGGGACGAGAGGGAGTGGTTTGATGAGTATGACAGTCCAATCATCAAAAAAGTAGGATGGAGGTGGGGAAAGTGGGCAGGACAAAGAAAATTGACAGGAACATTATACATGAGGAGAAAGCCAATTCAAAATCAGCTTCCAGAAAAAGATAAGGGTAAAAGTTGTCTCAAAAGGAATGGAGAGAACACAGGGAGAAAACAAGCAAACAACAATAAAAGGAAGTGGAAACTAAAGGCACAAAAATGTGTGCAGAAATCAGGGGATAAACTGAAGCAGCATGGGGTCAGAACCGACAGGGGGAAAAATGCGGAAAAGCCCAATGTATGCAAACTGTAGCAACAAAGGAATAGCCTAATATTACTGTTTTCTTAAGCATCCAGCTCCTTCTGGTATAGCTGAACTCTCCTTGTCCTTTCTGACTTGGGAAGGCTACCTCATGGGTGTTATTTAAAAGACATTAACGGGGTCCAGTTGAAATGCTGAAGGCTGTGCAATCAAATGGATATATAACCAAATGTCAACACAATTCCTGAAACAGATGTTAACCAGTAACATTTATGGTGCTATGAAGGACCCAGTTACACAGTTAGTATAGCTCAGGCAAAGAATGTTCAGTTTCTGTATATTCAATTTTTGTGGTTGTTGTTACAGTGACAAAAAATAAAACAAAATAAATGATCAATTAATTCATTTTCAATGTATATGACTGCTTTTGGATGGTTTCATAGAAGGACACTAGCTTCTGGACACTACATTCTGGTTCCCAAATATTTCTGCCTCTTACCCTTCCCATCAAGATCACCCTACCTCCCTCTTCTGAACACATGCAACTGAACCTGCCTTAAACTGAATCAGTCCACTGGAGACTCCATCAAAATCAATATTGTCTGCTCAGACTGGCAGCAGCTCTCCAAGGTCTCAGGCAGAGGTCTTTCGTATCACCTACTGCCAAATCTTTTAACTGGAGATGCCAGGGATTGAATCTGGGACCTTCTGCATGTAAAGCAGATGCTGTACCACTGAGCCACAGCCCAGAAAGAACTTTGTAATTACAGCAACACCTAAGCAGAACTAACAAGTGAAGACACTTCGTTCTTTCTGAGACCACAGTCTCTAGCACCCATAAGAACGGGGGCATAATTTCTATTCCCTTATACACTAATCTCTCTTCCTGCCAAATGTCATGGTGTATTAGCCTGGATTATGGAACTGATTAATATGCCTTAAAACATTAAATCTGTTCACCTAAGCAAATGACATTAAAATCACCTAGACCAGGGCACCTTTTTTCAATAACAGGCTTTATGATTAGAAATCCATATGTGTGCTCAGTGCATGAATTTTTATTGGTCCCAGTGGTGAAGTATAGCCTGTTAGCTATTCAAAAATATGGATTTTAATAATAATACAAAATAAATCCAAAAAACAGTTTCATATTTTTTTTGTACAAAAGGACACAGTTGCAGGCTTAGTGCTAGTCATGGACCAATTCTGACAAAGTCAATGAGACTACTGGACTGGTACTGAACTTTTCTGGAGGACTGAACTTTTCTTGAGATGTGTGGGGTATATTAAACCTGGACACATCTCAATTCTGACTCTGTGTTCACATCAATGATGGTCGCTCTCACCTTCAGTTTCATAAAACAGAATGTACGTTCAGAGAGCCAGGTTGACCCAAATATTACCCAGAGTTTGGCCACACAGCTAGAAATTTCAGGATAGTTCTTATCCCCAAATATGATAAAATCAGTGATTCCTAGAGTTACCCTATGTTTCTTTTGGGTTTCCCCCCCATAAATGACATGTTGCACTTGCATTTTGGATGCAGCAAATTAATATAGCTTAGGGATGTCAGGCTACTGACTGCCATCTCTGGGAGCTTTAGGGGTGGGAGGATTGCAGAAATGATGTTGTATCTGCCCCAAAACCTGGATGTGATGTAAGCACACTGGGTGATGCTCTGGCCCTGTCCAAAAACTCCATACTATGTGCTGGTCCAGGAAGTGAGGGCAAGAGGGTGGGCCCACCAGTGGCAGTCCTCCCCCTATAAACAAGCAAGTGGTAACCCTAGTATGGCTACATTTTAGGAATCGATTCATGCTTCTTGTTGTGTGTACATACAGAGGATTTAATTGCTACTTCCTTTCCATTGAAAGAGGTCCTTAGTGCATGAATAACAAAGAAGACGATGATGAATAACAAAGAAGACGATGAGTTTTTTGGAGAATGGAATGATTTTAAAATTTATCTGGAAAAGAACTGGGATGTGAAACAAAACTTAATATGTTTAGATCAATATTAAGTCAAACGATGTTATCTTTAGATTGTAATGATGAAAAACTGATATTGTTGATGATATGAAGTAATTTGGAGCAGGGGTGGAAGCATTGTGGGAAGCCATTGGAGGGAGGGGAGGAACTGGGAATGGGGTAGACAATTGATAGAATGAAATGTTTTATATGTTGTATTCCTGAGAAAATAAAATTTGTTTACCAAAAAAAAAAGAAAGAGGTCCTTAGTGCCAATTTCACTGCATGCTACAGTTTTGAGATAATTAATCATTTTTTCCTATATGGACATACATTAAAAGATTCCAACATGATTCTAGAGAGACTAGCACTGAACACATTTATTTATGGAAAATATTCTTAGCAAGCCCCACTGAAATGGAACAGGGTTCCCCTATGAGAGAGAGAGAGTTTTGGATTGCTCCCCCAGAATCCAGGGTCTCCAGACTCTGAGCAAAGAAGGTCTAAACATCTGCAATTGCTCTGTTGCACTAGTTAACATCACAGCTATGTTTCCCATCTTAAAGTTTCTTTTAATGGTTTTTAAAGGCTACCCATGTACTATAAGGAGAATGATTGATCCAAATAATCTTCTAATAATCATACTGAAATAATCTAGGGTAGCCATCATGTTTAAACTAACATCTGTAAAACTAAAGTGATTCCCTAGCATGAACCATTAAATTACATGGAATATATTTGTTGCAATCAAAACCATACCTCTCATGCTAAGCCAAATTCCTCATGGTAAGTTTGTTTTCTTTTTTTAAAAGAAAAACAAATACACTTAAAAGCTGTTTTCCACCAAAATAATTGGTAGAGAGAGTAGAATGGAAACAGTCGAGTGTACATTACGAGCTCTCAAATATGCTTAGTTTGTATAAGGTTTTTTTAATGCAGTCCACACCTCATTTGCAAAAAGAATCGTGAATAAGAACAATTTTTCCATGATTTATTATGGTTTCTACCATTATGGATTCTAGTTTTAGCCTCTAGTAAAATAGAGGGTTTCAGTCTAACATTATTACAATGTGTTGCAGCCCAATTCTGAAACTTAAAATACATTCTTAAACAGAGTAACACCCTACTAAGACTACTGAAGTCAAATGAACAGTGTAAATCTGTTTAGTAGTGCACTATAAATTAGTTTATCCATTTGTGCTATAGGCAGGGCTTGAATTAGTCCTTTAATTGCTAAAGCTGATTTCCAATGCAGTACTAGGCTGATTTTAGCAGCAATCATTTTTAAAAATGGCAATTTTCTAGAATACAAATCTTTGATTTCTATATGACAGTAAAGGATTGTTAATGTCTCCAGTTTAACACTGATTCTTATATAATCTGAGTGACCTTTGCCTGATATATTTGAATTTGTAAGCAATTCCATTGTACATGATGTAAGTTAATATAACAGGTATGACATGTCCAAATATTAAAGAATTAACTTCAACAATTTGGTTTAACCTTGCTGACATCCATCTCTTTAATTTCTGGATTACCCATAGATACCACATTTCTTCTTTTATTCATGTTTAACTAAGAGAATTTGTACAATTAATTCAGTAAATGGAACAATTGCAGCTGGCTCTTCAGTTTATTTGCATCTCCCCCCCCCCAAGAAAACAATGTACATGTGTGTGGAAAGGGGAAAAATGCAAAAAAATCATCCTGATGTGATCATACATATAATTGAATCCAGATTATTTGTGTGTGATGACTGGTAAGGCATCTTCTGGTTTTAGTGTTTTATGACCAGGTTCCCAGCCCTTGCTATTGACACAGAGTTCAGCTTTGCTTCCAAAATAAGAATGATAATAGTAAAACAATATATCTAGGGATGTGATGCCTTGTAACTAATTTCCCATCTTACCATTTTGTATTCTTTCCAGTTTTTTTGAAAGTCTAGACTCCCATCTTCTCGGTGTTGTATAACTGTCCAACCTCCCCCTGCAATTTCCATATTGCAGAAGACCTAGAAGCAGAGATATAAACAGGTAAGAATCACCCTGGTGACAGGGACCCCTTGATCCACTTAGATCAGTTGTATTTATTTATTTATTTATTTATTTGCGTTCTAGCCTTCCTTCCCCTGCATAGCAAGGCTCAGGGCAGGTTACAACAATATAATAAAACAACAATACAATAGTTAAAACATAGAGATAACAGTCATAAAACTCAATAAGTATCAATCAATCAATAAACAGCCCTGACCTAGATAGACCTTGCTGGCATCTCTTCAGATCTTGGAAGCTAAGCAGGGCCGACTCTGGCAAGTACTTGTAAGGGGGACCTCCAAGGAATACCAGGGATGGAGCCAATGCTTCCTCTAAGCTGTGAGGCTTGTGAGCAAAAATTCTACTTTATGAGCTACGGGCATTAAAGCTGTGAGTGAGCAATTTGGCTACTGCATAATTTAGTTTGTTCTGGAGCCCCATCCTTCCTGAGTGAAGACAAAAATGGGTGAGCCGGAGGCTAAAAAACTGTGAGCTAGCTCACACTAACTCAGCTTAGAGGGAACACTACATCCTCTGACAGTGAATTCCACATTTTAATCACTTGCTGTGTAAAGAACTGTTTCCTTTGGTCTGCCCTGAATCTACTGCCCATCAGCCTCCTGTGTTTCTCTTCCATATGCTAAAGAACTAAGAACATGGGACACAGATAAGATTACAATGATAGAGGAAGCAGAGAAAAAGTCACAACCAAAGTGACCAAGCAGAACCTAAAGTCTATTTGAAGGGTGCAGTGGGGATAGCGAATGGAGTGCTTTTTCTACCATCACTGGAACTATGTGCTTACATCCAGCAGAAATCATTAAAACTGTGCAAGGGTTGTTACATCTACCACTGTGACATGGGGGCTAGAACCATTCATGGTTTGCTCTGACAGTTTTGTCAGCATTTTTCCAAACTCAATATTGACTCCACAGCTAAATTCATCTCCGTTTTCCTTCTGGACTCATTTTGGGTTCAAGACTAATTTGCATACTTTGGTAGGTGAATTTCACCAGGGGAAACGTAACCCCGTTGAATCTTCTTGATCTCTCACTCGCATTTTTGGAGAGATTGTTTTGTGGTGGTACAAATTAATGTTAACAGGTAGGTTCCAGAAGGTGGTGCTGGAGGATTACTGTTCACCTCCTTGATCGCTCCAATGTGAAATCCCAGGGGGGTTGATCAAGAAACTGCTTACAGAGAACTTCCACAGATTTGGGGTTAAGTATCAGTTAACAATTAGGACCTACAGTACCTGCTTAGAGTATCTGATGAACTGGATGACATTGACTAAATTTAAACTCAGTCCCGGTAATAGAGTTGTTTATGACTGGGGGATAGGAGCCCAGGAAGAGGTAGGTTTACCCATATTGGATAGGTCACACTCCCTGAAAGACAAGTTTTGCATCCTAAGATTACTTCTAGAATTTATGGATGTTCAGGCAGAGGGCTGTTTATGAGCTTCAGCATCCCACATGTCCCGATGACTTTGGATCTTTAAGTTCTGCAATATACTGAGGCTGCACTTAAAGATGACTCAGAAAATTCAGCTGGACCATAATGCAGCATCCCCTTTGTTGTCTTGGTCCACATACAAAGGAAGCATATCACATCATCTCTGCAAGTGCTCTGTTCAGTCTTTTCTGAGGCCAAATCCATGGTGCTTCTTTTTGACATTTATAATCCTGATTGTTTCAGATACGTGAAGGGACACCTTCTCCCAAATGAATCCTCCTGACTAGAGATGTGATCAAATAAATCCTTCTTAAAAGGAAGGCAAGTGTGTCATCTAAGCTGCATCCACATATCATTGAGTAGCGTGCTGTCATTCTGCTATAACAATCGTTCACAGCTGGATTGTCAGGTCCACACAGGAAAATCCTGTTGCAGCACACTGTTATATCCATCAGTGTGTGGATGCAGCCCTACTTGTGATAATTTGTTCTTTGTGATGGCTCTGCTCTGTGGAATACTCTTCTGAGAGAAACACACCTGTATTTACTCCAGAAGCACAGTGTTGTTGTTTTTTATTCCAAGACTTTTGCAATTAAAGACTTCTAAATTGTTCATCTCTTCTAAGTCTGACACTGTCTCCTGCTGATTTTAAATAGATATTCCTATGGTTGTTTATTATTGCTGGTATTATTTTACGGAGCACATTTTTAAATGTTTTATTCTGTTTTGGGAATGGTCAAAATGCCACGTTCTTCATGAAGGCACTAAAATACAGAATATCTTCCACTTGATTTCCAATCACTCCTAACAATTTACAATATCTACTGCCTACTCTACCCCCATGGTCCCTTTCCCAAATAGCAAATTAGAACCTATCAATACCTATGTGGTTATGATATTGCATCAGAATATGTTGAAATTTTGCTATTCTCAGTTGGAGAGTGGGTGTTGCCCTCTGACATGTGTCTTTTCACAGAAGAGGAGAATGCATACCCTCAGACAAAAATATAACCCATTGAACCTCTTTGGCAATTAATGATGACTGTGCTGCAGCACACATTTAAGAATGTGAAGGGCCCCCTTTGCACATGCAGCTGTACCAGAGCTGTTTCCCTGGTGCTATCCCATGCATCTGGTGGCAGCATGCATACGATTCCCAGAACCAGATGAATGGAGCTGAGTTTTACTACCTGATCATTGCACAGTTGGGAGGGAAAGCAATGATTAGGTGGGAAAGGCATACACAAATGGCTCTCCTGTATGACTGCATTACTCTCATGCACATGCAGAGGACTCACCGGATTGCACCATCAGGGAAGTGGCTCCCCACATGATGACAGGTGTACACAAGCAGTGTTTTAGTTCATACCTGTACCTAGGAGCTGAACTGGTGCGTACTTTCACTGCTTGTATTTTGTGTCACATGCTAATCCTTATACAAAAATGGATACAATCCGATATACTGGGTTGGATTTTATAGATCTGTTCCCCCAATGGTGGCACCTTCCTTTGAGATAAGAAGAGGAATCTCCTGTGTCAGGGGAAGGGTCCACTGCTGGTGGAACAGATCTGTGGGATCCAATCAGAGTTTAAATTAATCGGTTACTTCTTTTGAAACAGAGTTGATAAGATATACTCAGAATTATGTTTCCCTAGCATGTCCGTTAATTATTGGTTTCTTATTTATAACCATTTCCTTCCATGTTTTTGTTATCCATAATGACACTGCTACTGTTCCAAATTTGTGTTCTTTTATGAATACAACTACATGCCATGTTGGTGTTTGGGGCCTTTAAAAAAAGGTCTGGGAAATCTTATCAATTGAGGTTGGATCTCAGGATTCTCACGCAAGACTATAGGAAGGAAAAGACCTCATGACACGAGCTGGTAAATGTAATGTTGTACATGGCCTGATCACGCAGAGGTCATTGCCTAATTCCTTTGAACCATTTCCTTCACCGGCCACCCAATGAAACCCATTTCATCCTTAGCTGAATCAATTCTATGCTTTTCACTCAAAGGCGAATTGTCCTCATGGAAGGCTGTCCTATTTCCCCATTGTATGGCTTCCATTTTGGCATACACTGCCATGGGTCCCCAATTGTGTATCAGAGGAGAAAAGATTGTTCAGTGCTCCAAAAATGTGAACTTATTTGAGAAGCCCAAAACAAAAACCCCTAAAGAAGTGCCTTTTTCTTGAAGAGAAACTGTTTGGCTCCATGCTCCCTTTACCAATGACATTTGACTGCAAACATTTATCTACAGCATGTGGTTTCATTGGTCTTGGATTTATTGCATGCAGTTTTAAGCAATACATGCATCTCATTTAACATTCATGTCAGGCTCTCAGAAACACAGTGATTAGTTTTTTTCACATATTCAAATCCTTATTCTCCATCCATTAAGCTAATGTTTCCATACGGAAAGGAAAGAAAATATTCTACATATACACAAGACGTTCATTAGTTGAAAAATCCTTTTCTAAACACGTTTTGGTGTTTTCTTGTTTTGAGTGACAGGAAATTTAAAAAAGCAGAGGAATCAGACAATGACAGAGAGATTTACAGCACTAAATGATTCACTGTGTGGTCTGGCACTCTCCACAGTGGTGGATGCGAACACCTGCCACATTAACGGGAGCAGCAAGCCGATTATAAATGTTAGCTTTCCACCATTCGAGCCAACAAATGTCCTCAACTGGCTCATGTCCCAGACAAGGTCAAGGCATTCAGCCATTAAACACCTTTTAGCGTGTCTTGAGGTTGAAATCTGAACAAAAAAAAATATGGGGGAGGTAAGAAGAATTTAAATTACTCTCTCTTTCTACCTCCTTGGTGGCGGATTGAATACGACTCGAATCATCAGTATGCAGGGGATTCAAGTTAAAACGAACTTGCATACAATGATAACGATTTGCTTCTAATTGGAGTTCTTGAGGCTTCTTAAAAATATAATCACTGCAGCATCATTGTGCTCAGTTTTATGAGAAGGGAAAAAGAGTTACGGGGTTTACAATTGCCCTTTGGAAGTTTGCTCTCTTTTTTTAATGATGTTTAACATTAAATATACTGTGGTTCTTGCTTTGTTTATAAGATGCCAGGGCCATTTAGGCATCAGGCAAGCTGAGACTCCAGCCCAATTGCCACTGAATCCCCCCCCCCCCCCCCGTGATTATCTTGGTGCGCACTGGAATTGCCTCTAAAGTTGAAATGGGACATTAGGAGAGCAATCCTAAGTACAGCTACAGCCCATGATGAATAGAGGAAGGGGAAACTGACCAATGAAACAAGGCCATGGTGTGTTTTTTTTTTTTTGCATCACTAGATATTACCAGGTGAGAAGAGAAAGAGATATAGGGTTGACATGTGTTCCAGACTAAGAGCTGCTTTACGTTATGCATTTCCCTGCATGGAAAACACTTGTACATATAGCATGAATGGAAGTACATAAGTCATGTATGAAGATTCACACAAATGTATATTTCACAGGGACCCTGATCTAGAGTAGGAATATATGAGCACTCTCTTCCACTATATCCAGAACTGTTAATATGAACCAGGGCTCAAATGCTTCCTTGAAGACTCCACACATGCAAACAGCTTGACATGAAAAGAAGGATGAATTCCACCCTTGTCTGTTCTACTTCACTCTAAAGGCCACAGGCCCAATGCAGAAGAATGAGATGAAGATAGGGTTGCCAGCCCTAACTAGCAATATGGCGAGAAGATTTGGAGCAGGGAACAAGACATTCAACATGGTGCCGACGTGCAATATCACCTCTGGTGCAAAACTGGAAGTGACATCATTGTATTAGGGCAATGCTTTAGGATACTCCCATAACTCTATGGTGAACCCTAGACTTTTGGGTGAATCATAGAGCGTAGCCTCAGCATGATAACACCATTTCCAGGGAGTGATGTCGTGCATTGTGCATGATTTTAAACTGCCCCCCATTCCCTCCACACGCACACTCTTCAGCAAGACAGGAAATGGGGGGGACTTAGGCCAGGAGGTTTCCCACTATATCAGGAGACCTGTACCCCCTAGCTGGGGATAAGGAGGACCACACCATTTCATACTGCAGGGGTAGGATCACAATTCTGAATGCTTCCCTACGTTAAGAGCTCCATGACAGGCAATGATAAGGGGTACATTTCTCTTTGCTGTGCTAGTTTTCTATCTGACTGGAGTTTTGCATGTAAAGGCTGAATTCAGCACGTGGAGTACAAAGGGGTGCCTTCCACTCTTCCAGCTTAATATTCTACCATATTATTTTTTGACATGGCTAAACCTTTTCTTAGATGGGAGAGAAGCACAAGAGCATTGTTCTTATAACCTACTTTAATGCACCAGTACATTGGGGCCATGCGTATTTATGGAATAGTATGGAAATAAACAGATAAACAAGTGCACTGGTAGGGCACAGACAACTGCGGCTCCCCAGCTTACATGGGATATTCCTACACAGATGTGCTTTCTATTTAGGAAATACATAACAGGAATAGATGTTGTAAGCGCCCATCTTCTGTAATTCACAAGTAACAGTGTAAGTGTATTGCTTAGGGCACATTCATGAGTATGGGAGAGAATGGCGACTGTATGATTATGATCTATGCCAATAAAGGTTTTGAACTTGAGTATGGGAGAGGCCCTGTTGACATTGCTGATACTGAACCTGAACAAGTATAATTAGAGCGAGTGCCAGAATTTAGCATCAGCTCAGAAGAATATTGATTTCAATTCTTTTTGCAATACCAGCTTCAATATTTTTGTTGCTCTACGCAGCGATCTACTTGAAAAAATGCAGGGGACCCTATTACTTTTCCTGATTGACAAGTCCCACAGTTTTGAAGCGAGTTATAACTGCTTAGCTTGCCACTGCAAACTGCACAAGTTTCAGAACCTGTTATAGCAACACTGTGTGCTTTTGGCCCTACGCCACAGAACCCAGATGTGCACCTTTAAATGCCCTTGGCTATGGGAGCGGAGGCAGGAATGGCTCCGTCCATCTTTTCCTTCTCTGGTCTAGTTATCGATCATTCTCCCTCACCAACAGTAGGGAGCAGGACTCCAGATGATGACAGGTAGGGAATGGGTGGGAGGATACGTGGCTGCTATGGGGAATTAAAGGGCTGAAAAATAGCAATTCTGATTCCTTGAACTCTAACCAGTATGCATTAGAAGAGAGCAGAAACAAAGGAGTCCACTGTTTTTCACCCCATTTTTTTTCCTTTACCTTTTTAGGCTCTGATACATTATTAATATAAATACTGTAGACTCCACTTTTGTTGAAACCAGCTTGGTAAGCATCAGCACAGTCTCTGAATGGCTTGTCGTCTTCTTTTTTTGCATTCTTTAGTAGAACTGCAAAACAAAAAAATAAATATGACATTGCCAGCAGCAGAAGCAAAGATATTGCCACACATTTCAGGACAGTGGGCAAGGCCCTTGCCAGGTGAGCCTTGTGGTAGGCTGGTGGTCCATACCTTGAAAGAGCTGCCACTCAAGAAGCAGGTAAGATGTGAGCCTCCCTGAGATGCAGGCATCATGCCTGGGGGATGGAAGTAAAGGTGCCTTTTGGTTGATGGTAATCAGGGGTCATTTCCTGCAGGAGCGCACAGGAGTGGAGCTCCGGCAGTAAAGAGCCCAGGGGGCGGGCACATGCAACAAGCCCCACCCCCTGCTCCCAGCAGCCCTCAGTCAGAGCAAGAAGCAGCCAGGTAAGCTGCAGAGCCCCCCCACAGCTCCCCAGTCCAAAACAGTCCAGTGGCACCTTTAAGACCAAGTTTTATTCAGGTACAAGCTCTCCCTTCTCTGCGAGGACAGATCTGCATGTCCCCCCCCCCAATAGCTAGCAATCCAAATGAGTCCAGTGGAGCCTGAGCGGTGGGTGTTGCCTTCTGATACACCTCCGGTGATGTCAGGGGGTGTGGCATATGCAAATAAGTTATGCTAATAAGTAATGCAAATGAGCTCCTCTACCTCTTTTTCTACAAAATGACCCCTGATGGTAATTGCAAATCTGCCCTGATCTGGATGGACCAGGCTAGCCCAATTTCGTCAGCTCTTGGAAGTTAAGCAGGGTCAGCTAAGCAGACCAGTGAGGAAGTCCAACGTTGCTACACAGAGGCCGGCCACAGGAAACCACCTGTTGCCTTGAAAACCCTGAGGGATTGCCATAAGTCAGCTGTGATTTGACAGAACTTTCCATCACCACTGATTGCAAATATGGCTGTCTGTGAGCCATGGAATGAGTACCACTGACCTAAAGAGACATTTCTAATACACTCTAATGAATAGGGCGGCCAGGTTTTTTGCTTTACTGGATCTACTTCTCTGTTTTGAGAATCAACCTTAGGAAATGCTTCACTTGCTAAATTTCTGCATGTCAGACAACTACCGCTAAAAAAAGACAGAGCAATTTTTGAAAAGAAAGTTGGCAACTCCACAAGGAAATGAGTCACTGACTGGCACAGTCATATACCAAGGCCAGACTAGACTGTATTTGTGAAAAAGTATCTGCATTTCTTCTAATTCAGGACACAGGGCCAAACTTAGACATGCTCTTTGTTAAAAGAGTTGGGTCCGGATTTCCAAGACCCAACTCTGTCTCTCTGCAACTGCACAGCAGCAGTGGGGAGTGTCTTAAAAAAATAAAGGACAGCCCATTTGTGCTTGGAAGGCCACCTGGGGGAAAGAAAGCCTCCCGCTTGCCTCCCAGCCATTTTCATGTGCCTCATGAGAGCCAGTTTGGTGTAGTGGTTAGGTGCATGGACTCTAATCTGGGAGAACTGAGTTTAATTCCCCACTCCTCCACATACAACTGGTGTGACCTTGGGTCAGTCATAAGTTCTTTCAGAGCTGTTCTCTCAAGAGCAGTTCTCAGAGCTCTCTCAGCCCCACCTACCTCCCAGGGTGTCTGTTATGGGGAGGGGAAGGGAAAGGAGATTGTAAGCTGCTCTGAGACTCCTTCAGGTAGTGAAGAGTGGGGTATAAATCCAATCTCCTCCTCCTCCTCCTCTTCTTCATCTTCTTCTGTTCTAGGGGGAGCTATTTCCCCATTTTTACTGCAAAGAATACTCCACATGCAGCAGCAAAAATGGGGAAAGATGAAACAGTCCCCCCCCAGCATTGTTTTGGCAACGGAACCTGGGTGGAGGGTGGGGGAGGCAGAAGCCCTTCCTTCCCTCCCCTCCGGTGGCATTCCAAACCCAAATGTGCTCTCCTTTATGTTTTAATAGAAATTCTCTGCAGGCATTGTGTGGCTTTAAGGGAACAGAGCTTGGTCCAGGGTTCCCAGATACAGCTCTGTAAAAAAGACCACAACTTGTTCAGCCCTAAGCACAGGGAGAGGCAGCTTCAACTGTTGCTACAGGATAGGGTTGCCAGGCTCCAGGTGGTGGCTGGAGATCTCTTGGGATTACACCCGATCTACAGGCAACAGAGATCAGTTCACCTGGAGAAAATGGCCGCTTGGGAAGGTGGATTCTATGGCACTATACCCCACTGAAGTCTCTCCCCTCCCCAAACGCTGTCCTCCTCAGGCCCCACCACCAGAGCTGGCAACCCTGTGACAGAAGCTGTTAAGTCACCTGTCACCCTGTACCATGGCCCCATCTTAACTGAGGTCCCACACAGCTGCTTTTTCCCAATTAAAACAATGCCAGTTCAGGGCAAGATGCAGGAGAAGTGTTGGGTAGCCAGCTCTGGGCTGGGAAACACCTGCAGATTTGGGGGGTGGAGCCTGGGGAGGGCAGGGTTTAGGGAGGGGAGGGGCCTCAGCCAACAGAGTCCACCCTCCAAAGCAGCCATTATCTCCAGAGGAACTGATCTTGGTCATCTGGAGATCAACTGCACTAGTGAGAGACCTCCAGGTATGGCAACTCTGGAGCAGTGGGTAAAAAAAGTGCTTTTCACCCAAGGGGATAATATTCCAGAGAAGGCAGCTATGCACAGCAGACGCCTACCCTTCCACCAGCAGCTGTGCATTGCTCCAGTCTGCCTGCCGGTGGTGCCCAGGGCCTTTGCCTTGCCCATCCCCAGCATGAGCTGTCCTCTTCTCTTCTCTGCCTAATGCTGCCCTCATGTAAGCGAAAATTGTCAATATGTATTGACAACCAGAACTTCAAGGATATTCAAAACTTAAACAGATGAGGAATTATAACAATAAGGATTCGCCTAAGTACACTCACATATATGCTGAAAAAATACCCCTTTAACAATGAGCACTGAAAAGTCCAATACCCAAGCTTGGCAATTCTTTGAAGCATACATCATGCGCTTAATGAGCACTGAAAGGTCCACTACACGCACACTTCAAAGAATTGCCAAGGTTGGTTATTGGACTTTTCAGTGCTCATTGTTAAAGGGGTATTTTTTCAGCATATATGTGAGTGTACTTAGGCGAATCCTTATTGTTATAATTCCTCATCTGTTTAAGTTTTGAATATCCTTGAAGTTCTGGTTGTCAATACATATTGACAATTGGTTTTCACGGTGTGTCCTTTTTCACTTATGTTGTTATTCCACCATGGTCCCTAGTTCAATTTGGCTTTGAATGCTGCCCTCATGACACTGGCTCTGATCAGGGTTCCAAATGATCAGGTTACAGTCATGGCTCAATGTTCAGGCACTGCTGCCCAGCAGTTGTGGCTGTTGTTGTGCATTAGCTGAGCTCTTTATGGTTGGCACAAGCCCTGGGAAAAAATCAGGGGGCTACGGACACCTTTAAAAAAAAATTTCCCCTTGTTTTCAGTGGAAACTGGCTCTTTCCTGCTAAAACCTGCTGACTGGAATAGAATTCCAAATATTCAGATGTTCTGGATTTTATTTTATTTTATTAAATCCCAAATCCAAAGAATCAGGATCCCAAATCCAATTTCCAAATTTGAATTTTAGTGCTTGCGCACATCCTTATCATGCCCAATTCCAGAATTACACTACATATCAAAGATGGAATGCAGCTACAAAGGTCTATTTACATGGTTTTTAATGGCTGGAGATCCTGTGTCTTTAAGATGGAGTAAATAGGTCTAAAGAAAGAGTTTTGTAGTGTCATGCATATGCCAAAATACAAAAGCTTCCACAATTTGATTTCAGTTTGGTAATACACTCATCCTCTGAAACTAGACTCCTGCTAGGCACAGAATCTGTGTCCATTAAAAAAAAACAAATGATGGAAGCTCTATCAAAAGTTAAGTTAGAATATATAAAACTCATGTTACCTAGTAAGTAATGTTAATGGCAGGATTAGCACCTCTCACTCTGTTGGCACTATATAAATGTCAAATAATAGGAGCAGTAAAAGTTTTACAGACATCTTTTAAATGGCTTTCCTTCCAGTTAAAGAGGGAGGGAAAGTACAGTAGAGCTACTGTTACAGAACTCAGGATCTACTCTTTGGTTTTTATATGCAGGAAAATATATGTTTGCTGCCTTCTTCATCTCACTTTACTTATACTCAATAAATTTATTTCTATCCAGCTTTTTTAAAAAAGAAGAAGCAGAGCAGCTTCCAAGTTAGATAACACTAAAATGAAACACAGCAATGAATGAAATTAAGACAACATCAGAGTAATGCCAATAACAACACACCATCAGCCTCGCTCACAGAAAGGGAGTTCTATAAAATCAGGGCTGCAGCTCAGAAGTTTCTGCCCGTTTCCCTTTGTGGTTTTGATAAAATGCAACCAGGGACCCCAGACCAGGGTATGCACAGTTAAATGAAGTGCGCAAGAAGGCTTATGTAGAGAGCTCCCTAAGGATGGGTCCTGTGAGTTGGATCCAGCCAGTTTTTCAGTTGCTGTTTAAGGAATGAGGTATCCCTTTTGACCACCAACAAAATTCTCTATGCTAGGGATCATGGAACCTGCATGGGCAAAAGTTCTCTGCAGCAGAAGTTGTGGTAAGGAAGAGAAACTGGGTGATATTAAGTAAAAAAGCTGGCTGGGTCAAACTGAACATTTCACCCAGATAGACTAAGGAATCCTCCAGCACTCACCAGTGTGGTGCATGGCCTCTTCACCTGACACTAACAGGAAGCTGATTTTTTAATGATTGTTTCAGCTGTTCATCAACTGATTTGTGGTGGTTCGGCAGGCTGCTTCACTGCATTCCTTTCTACCAATGCAGCATAGTGCAACTGGCTTTTCCTGCACCCATGACTACCAATTTCCCTATTGAGCCACCAGGAGGCTTCTCAAGGTTTCTTTTAAAAATAAATAAATAAATCAATTATTACTACTGTGATCTAGTATTATAACAATGTATTGTCATGACTGTTGAAATCCCAGCTTTTTAAAAATGTAAATCTCTGGCCCCTTCTGTTGTGGAATTAAAAGGGGAAAAGTGTAGGTAGCACATTT